GCTGACTCAGCGTGCCGGATCGTCGAGGAATATCAGTTCTATCGGCTTATTTAAGCTTGAATACGAGCTGCTGCATCCCCGCAGTTTCTCCGCGACAAAGCGGAAAACACTTTCACGGGCGTTTCCTCTGCCGCGAGCGCCCTCCTTTGAATATGTCCTCTGGTTCGTCTCGTTTTTCTGTCGCCAAACTCCGGAGCATCGACCTCGCGCCCCAACTAATGGCATTGCAAATAGATTTTCGTTCTCCAACAAGTTTTCTCATGTCCCTTGTTAATTTTGCGAAATTTTTCGAATACACAAGGAATGTCAAACTGGCGGCATACGGCTTACGATGTATATTTATTTTCGTTTCGTTTCGTTCGTTCACAAAAATTTATATTTTTTCGTATATTTCTAGATAATTTAACAAAAAACAAATTAATTTTTTTTTTTTTTTACTATTTATATTTATAATTTGAGAATAAAAGTTAAAGTAATAAAATATTCGTCCAATAATCTACTAATCTTTATCATTTTTAATAGTGAATTTATTTTTACAACAATTAAAGAAATAGTGGATATTGTATATCAATTATTCATTGGAATGAGTACTGATTTTATATAGTATTCTGAACATATGTTTAATAAATACATATGTTTTTTATAATAATGTGAGATAGCAATAAAAATTCTTTAAATAAAAAGACTTTGTATTCATATTGCTGATAGTAACTATTAGTAACTATTTGCTCGAATGTTACAATAATTTTAAGACATTTCATTAAAAGAAAAAAATATTGCAGATATTTTGAATATTGAGAAAGAAACAATTCAAAAAATCGAATGCAAAATTTGTATTTTTTTTCGCAAAAAATGCGTATAAAATTATTGCAACAACACTATTTATAAATACATCGTTAACATTTGCAAAAAATGCAAAAGTTAATTTGCTACACTTTTCTAATTTTTTAATCAATTAATAATACTTTTCTTAAATTTTAATTGTTTTTAATTCGTATTCTACGAGTCGAATGATTAGTTACAGAGATTTAAACGAACACTGATTTAAATTTATCTGTAGAATTAAATAAAAAGAAATTGTGAAATTAGGATAATATAAATACATATTGTGCTAATATTAAATAAATATTTAAAAAATCCATGAAATTTAAAAATTTGAATAATTAATAATATAAATATTGTGTGAATCACATGAATTCTACTTGTTAGACAAATGACTTGTGATTGAAATGAGTTTGACACCCTTGAAACACGCGATACTGTCATGCGCTCTATGATACACGGATGCAATAACAATTCACCTTGCTCGCAATACCTTGCCCATTATCTTGCCCGTTCTACACCCCGGATATATACCGGCTAATCCGATAATCCGCAACTTCGGTCCATTACCTCGTCGATCGTTCTATTCTCGTTTCTGGCTTACACGCGTGCTTCGTCTCGTCTTGTTTTGTCCATCATTCTTTCTTGTATTTTATATCGCTTCACGTTCCTTTCATCGATTTAACATCTTGATGTCAGTCATTTACTACCATGCCTTGTTCACGAACTGATGGACTATTTTTCTCTTTCTTTCTCTTTCTTTCTTTTTCTTTGTTTTTATCTTTATCTATTTATTGATCTTACGGTTCAAATGTGATGATCTTTCGGTCAGAAATCAAATCAGTGAGTTATAATATTGAAAAATAGATAAGTATATCTATGTAGAAGAAATCGATGTCATTTTTTTTTCTGTTATTAACATATTAACGTTTAAAATTCATAGAAAAGATTTTTTATAGATATTAGGAAATAAATTTTGTACGAGCAATCAATTTTAATGGTTGTAAAAATATGGAATTGAAATTGGCATTTCTCTTCATAGTGCAATTTATAATTATCTATATATTTTTTAATCATCCATTATAATATAAAAATTACAAAATTACAAATAAAAATTCAAATGAGTTTGATTATAGATTGTTTAATTAATATACAATATATAATATAGTTAACATATATTAGCATTTGATAAATTATATGCAAATTTTTTTTTTATTTAAATGTTTAAAGTATTGATATAAAATTATTATAAAATATACATTAAATAGAAAGATTTATTACATATCTTATCGCTTCTTATCTAATAATTGGATAAAATAATGAATGAATAAATTTATTTATAAGTTAATTTATAATTTCAAAGATATTGCTAATTTCTTTGAAAAAATGAAATCAATCCTCAAAATTTTTAACATTTTGAATTTTTAATGCTTAAATTACATTTAAGAATTTTTTTTCACAATAAGATAATATTTTGTAATTTAAAATTTTGTTCTATTTGATATATCATAATTATATTATATTTCAAAAAGCGAAAAATATACTAAAATATTAAGCGTTAATTTCATTTTTTTAAAATTATTAAAAAATTATTAAAATTAAAAAAATTGCTTCATATTTTTTTATTTGAATATAAGTAAAGTTTGAGTATATATATATATATATAAACTTTTATTTATAAACTTTTTTTGAGTTAAGTGAATTTTTTTTCAAGATTATGTTCGAATCTTTTCATTATATCGAACTGTATATATGATCACACATTCTGATACATTTGAATCTGATCGTAAATGTATTTCTATAAATATTAATTTGATGATACATTTCAATCTGATCGTAAATGTATTTCTATAAATATTAATTTAAATTATAGAACAAACTAGTAAAAAAACGGTTTTAAAATCTATTTTAAAATATACAATTCAAAGCAAAACATTCAAACTTTAGAAAAATATAATCTCAGAGAATAATGAATTGAAGATAGATATTATACTAAAATTGATTATAGATAATATCTGTGACAATAAAAAGTTGATAAGAATTGAATGAGAGTAAAAAAAAATTCATAAACGTAAATTATCGTAAACGTATAAATAATTTGAATGTATATTTTAATTCTATATCAGAGGAATTTAAAATATTTATATTTCATATTTTTGAATATGAATATAATAATAAGTTAAGTTAATTTTCAAGTTCATTTTTGATTCTTTTTATTTCTTAATCCATGCTCTTGTATAATGGACACAAATAGTATTGGTTTTCACAAAAAATTTAGAATTACAATTTAGAATTTAGAATTATAAAATATGAATTATGACAAAGTAATTAAATGTGATATAAAGACGTAATAGGACT